ATTGATTGATACACATATTAAAGGAAGACTAGAAAATTCATGGGCCCGGCATGGTAGTCTAGTAGCTAAAGTCCTTGCCTTGCATGCTTGCATGCACCGGGATCCCAAATGGGCTCCAGTTCTAATCCTGGCTGCTCCACTTCCCATCCAACTCTCTGCTGGTAGCCTGGGGAAGCAATAGAGGACAGTCCTTGGGAACCAGCACCTGTGTGGGAGACCTGAAAGAAGCTCCTGGCTCCTGGCTGTGGATCGGCACAGCACCAGCCTGTTGCAACCACTTGGGGAGTGAATCATCAGATGGAAGATCTTCCTCTCTCTCTCTCTCTCCTCCTCTCTGTATATATGTCTTCTCAACTAAAAAATGAAAATGTTTATATAAACCCAGGAACGCAAAAATAATATGAAACAAGTGTAGCTGTTTCAATTAATGAATTCATATGTATAGTCCAAAAATGAGACAAGCACACCTGTAAAAGGTTCAACAGCAATCCATGGAATTGCATTTTCATCACTATCTAGCATATTAGTCAGGATTCTCCAAAGGAACAGAAACAATAGGATGCGTGTTTGTGTGTGTGTTAATTTTACGGAATTGGCTCATATATGTGTGGAGCCTGCAACTTCAAAATCTGTGAACATTGGCAGGCTGGAGATGCAACAAAGACCTGCAGTTTAGGCCCAAATACAGTGAGTTGTAAAAGTCCCCTCTTCCTTGGGGAAAAGTTCCTGAAACAGCCTCAACTAATTAGGTCAGGTCCACCAAGTATTATGGAGGGTAAACTGCTTCACTCAAAGCCTACTGATTCAAATGGTAGTCCCCAAGCAAAAAATTATTTAGAATACTGTTTGAATAACTATCACAGTACTGTGGCTTACTCAAGACAACAAATAAAAGTAACCATCATACTTAGATCTTGTTACAAATGGAGATTTGAAGGCCCTGCCAGACACCCACCTTTTCCAATTCCTAGTAAGTGTGCCTTATCCTAGCATTATATCACTATTCCTTTATTTTAAAAAATCTTTAAAAATTTTCTTATTTGATAGGCAGATTTTACAGAGAGAGAATGCTGATTCATGCCCCAAATAGCTGCAATGGCCAGAGCTGAGCTGATTCCAAAGTTGGAATCAGGAACTTCCTCCAAGTCTCTTATGTTGGTGCAGGATCCCAAGGACTTAAGCAATTCTCTGCTACTTTCACAGACCACAAGCAGAGAGATGAATCTAAAGTGGAGTGGCCAGGCATGGACCAGTGCCCTTACGGTATGCCGGTGCCACAAGGTCTCGGAGGATTAGCTTGCTATACCACCCCATCAGTCCCTAAAGATGTATTTGAAAGGAAAAAAATAGGACTGCAGAGGGAAATGGAGGGATGGATGAAGGAAGAGATGGAGATAGAGAGATGGCAGAATTATTTTCCATCTGCTGATTTTCTTCCAAAATAACTGCAATAACCAGAACTTGGCTAAACCAAAGCCAGGTGTCAAGTAATCCATCCAAATCTCATACTCAAAGTACTTCAGCCATCTTCTACTACTTTCCCAGGTGAATTAACAGGAATTTGGATAGGGAATAGAGCAGCTTATACTCTATCTGGTGCTCTGATACAGAATACAAGTGTTGCAACCAGTGGTTTAATTCACTGCAACACATTTTTTTAAAAAAATTATTATTCTACTCACTTAATGAACAGTGTGTAGCCTGGGCTGCTCTAGGTTTGAGCTTTCTACCACAGAACTATGGCCACAGAAAGGGAGAAAGTGTTCACATTCAATACCAACTTTCTCCAGCAGAGGATTACAAAAGCCTGGGATCACAAGGACAATACCCAGAAGGGAATTCCAATGTCACTAAAGAAATGATGACATTTAATCCCTTTAAGCAACCAAAGTAGGGCCAATGAATCCATCTTTTTTTTTTTTTAATTATTTGGAAGTCTTTAGGAAGATAAGCAGTAGCAATTACATATGAGAGCTGAGGCCAAGTGCTGTAGTTCAGGATCCCAGAAGTTAGAGCATCAGTTCAAAGAAAAGTTCTGGGACAAAGTGTACAGGGTGGAGATTTATAGGACTCGGAGGTATTCTGAGGAATATAGTTCATTGGAGATGAAGGCTGGCAAAAGGCGTCACCAAGGACTCTTCCATGTAGTTCCTGCCACTACTCCCAGGGCTCCTTCTCCATACAGTGGTCCATATCCCCATTACCAACTCCTACATACCAGCAATGATTGTAAGAAGTGAACCTCATTGCATGCATATGAACTTCATGCCTTCATGCAAGGGGAATGGCATACTAGAAATCCCACTTTGTGTAGCTAAACCCAGGTCAATTCCAAATTCCCAATATCCATGATCCCATACCCTTTGGAATGCAACTGGACCTCTGGTCATGGCTGTGAGTTGTTGCCGTTCATCCTTACTATATCCTCTCATCCCACACCCAAACAATTAACACATAGAGTACTAACATCAAGAATAAAAGAAAGTCATCGTTGTAGAACCTCCAAACCTATGTAACATAATGAGGAATTCTAAACAGCTTTACATAGATAACTTTAATAAAATCAAAATGGATGTGACAATGTATCTGCATTTCAATCCCATTTATGCAAAATGTGTGGACATACATATTTGCGTGTATTGTACTTGACAAAGTTGTTTCGTAGGATGCTAATAATTGGATATGCTAATTTACATGGTCCAAAATGAGGTATGAGGGTATCTGTTGCCCTCTCTCAAACTTTAGAAATTATCTTGGAAGGCATATACTTTCCCATCATTTGCACTTCCAAGAACTTTTCCTAGGAAAGATTTGCAGAGCAGTTTGTGTGTGTGTGTGTGTGTGTGTGTGTTATATGTGCATGCACAAGTGTTTCTTTTCCCTCACTGTTAAGAGGGAGGGATAATTCAGAATTAACATTTTCTTAGAAGCATAGGACCAAAGAGAGAGAGAGAGAATTCATAGAAGAATGAGTGATAGGAAGATTTTGACATCCAGGCAGGCTAGGGAAGGTAGAGGATGTTGAAGTTTGAAGATATAGAGAGAAACCAGACCACAGATTCCACAATCCCTGTCCATAAAGAAGGCAGGTAGTTAGCCAAAATTGAGCCATACATTGCAATTGTTTGATAACATGTGAGATTATCTGTGTTCCTCATAGTGAAGCAGAGAAGTAAAGTCTCTGTTCCTTAGGTGAGAAGACCCAAATTAGAAAGTTATGTGTGCTTTTCTCTGACCATTGATGTTTTACAGGAAGAAAAATTAGCATTATTCTTTCTGTGATAGTGATTATCCCCTTGGTACATATTTTGAAGCAATCCACATTCCAAAATACAGTTCCATAAATGTACATGTGCATATATGTATTGTGTACACTTGCAAGTACATAAAGTATTGAAAAATGACAAGTGGTAGACAGTGTTACGCTAGGGACTGTCATCATGATGTATTAGGCTAATCCTCCACCAGAGGTTCCAGCATACCATACAGGTGCCAGTTCAAATCCCAACTGTTTCACTTCTGATACAGCTCCCTGCTAATGTCTGGGAAAGCAGCAGGCTTGCTTAAGTTCTCGGGCCCCTGCCCTTATGTATGAGACCCTGAAGAAGACCTTGGCTCCTGACTTCACATCTGCCCAGCTCTGGCTACTTTGCAGCCATTTGGGGGAGTGAACCAGCAGATGGAAGCTCTCACTCTCCCCTGCTTCTCTCTGTAACTCCGCCTTTGAGTTAGAAACAAACCTTTTATTGATAGTGCCTTTTGTAAAAAGTATATTTATTTTTATTGGAAAGGCAGAGTTACAAAGGCGAGACAAAGATATTTTCTATTTGCTGGTTCACTCCCCAAATGGTCACAATAGCCAGAGCTGGGCAGATCTGAATCTGGAATCCAGGAGCTTCTCCTGGGTCTAAAATGTGAGTGCAGGGTCCCCAGGACTTGGGTCATCCTTCACTGCTTTCCCCAGCCATAAATATAGAGCTGGATCAGAAGTGGAGCAGCTGAGATACAAACTCATACCCACAGTGGACACTGGTGTCACAGGGTGCAGGATCAGCCTGTTGTGTCATGGTGTCAGCCCCAAATAAATCTTTTTTTTTAAAAAAAAAATAAAATGCTACATGCAAAATGGGAGTATAATTTTATAATCCTGTAAACTGCTGGCACCTCACACTGTTTATAGGTTGTAGACTTAAGACTTTCTACCATTGCTACTTTAATTTCAAAAACCATGCCTGAGGTGTGTAGTTTAGTACTGTAGTGAAGACACCACTTGAGATGCCTAAAACCCATATCAGGAGTACGTGTGTTCTAGTTTCTACTCCTCATTCCTGTCTCCTGATAATGTATACCCTGGGAGACAGAAGGCAATGGTTCAAGTACTTAGTTCACTGACACCCATGTGGGAAACCCAGATTAACTTTCAGGCATGTGTCTGCCCAGCCCTGGCTTTCAAATAAATAAAAGTAGATAAATAAATTATTTTAAATTTTATTTGATATTAATTTAAATCATTTAAACAGAATATGGAATGCTGTGCTATTTCTTTGGAAGTGACAATGACAGGCTGAGCTTCCTGAAGAACATGGACATGGGGCATGGCTAAGCTCTGTGAGCAATGCATTGGACAGACAGGCTGACTTAGATGATATTGTAGGTTTGAGACTTCTGGCACAAGATCATCCGGGAAGTATATATGGCAGGGAGAAGCAGGGCCTTTCATTCCTGATCCTCTTGGCTTATGGCTGGGGCAGAAGTGCAATCCAACATACACAATACACAACATGCTATGCCACTTCATTATGAACATAAACAGCAATCTTGAATGGGAAAATACACAAAACATTTGGCCTTTTGGATGGTTTTGTTACCAGCTTACAAATCAACTTTGATGTTTTTTGACAGTTAAGACTCTGATCTCAATTGTGGGTAATTCCTTTGGCTGGGAAAATATCAAATATGAGGACTTGCTTGGAGATGAAAACCCTATCCAAGGGCACTTTCTAGTGCATTTGCATGAAAGCATTCTCTGGGTTGTCACTCTGGGCCTGGAGGAAAGGAGTAAGGATGTTAGAAGAGTCAGACGACTTGTGGTCCATCCTGACCTCCACCTTTCTAAACACCAGAGACATCCATCTTTTACCCACATGCTTCCCAGACCTCACCTGGAGGGTAATGGTTTGCCTGGCTCTGGTGTAGTTCCACCCGCTGTCCTCGAGACACCTGGGACGAGAGAATAGATGATCTCTGTCAGCATCAAAGAACACACATGCCAATCACAAGATGCCATCACTTCACCCATGCAATTCTGTTATTGGGACACATGTGCCAGAATAAACACTGCTTAACAACGAGGGAAACCTTGTGAAATACTACATTGTCTGTCACTAACATGCATGCCAGTGAAATTGAGAGAAGAAAAACAGAGGTATTCAGAACAAGAAGTTCAAGTCATTTGGTGCAGTTCTGCTTTGGATGATCCAGCAGCAGAATGCTTGGGATGGAATTCACCTTTTTTTTTTTTTTTTTGTCTGATCCAGCTTTCCATTAATGCACATCCTAGAAGGTAATAGAAGATGGCTCAAGAGATCAAGATCAAGTTCTTGGCTCCCGGTTTCAGTCTGACCCACCAATGGCTATTGTGAACATTCAGAGAATGTACAAACGTGTGGGAACTCTGTGTCTCCACACTTCAAACAAATTTAAAAATTGCTTTGCTTCTTTGCTAACTTAAAACAGTAGCAACAATAATAAAAGAGAGAGAGGCTGAATAGACAAGATCTGAGTCTGCCTCAATCAGAAAACAGTTTCAAGACTATGAAGGAGGAACTACATTTGCAGAAGATTGTCTGAGACAGAACCTCGGAAAAGCAGTGACAGGAACTACCAAGGCCTGCTACTTCTACCCTAGTTCCATGGCTGGTAGTCACACATCTCAGGAAAAAGGGATTTACATATTAAGTATTAGAAGTGAGAAGATTCACTGAGGGAAAAACTTCAGTCATTAAGTGATGAGATCTGAGAATAGCACGGAGTCTCTAACAACCAACACAAAGGAACAAAGAACTCTACCCACTATCCTCTGCCTGCTGCCATTTGCCCATCTTTCTTTCCACTACTGCCTGTGACATAGTGTGCCATCTTGCTGGGACAGTGCAGAAAAGCATACCCCGAGGAAGGTGGGAACGAGTCTACCTGCATGCAACCACTTCAGATCCACATTTGCCAGTCACACTAGGGGACTGGGAAAAGCTCCACTTAACATCATCCAGTGCTGAAACTTGAGCAATTGTTGCTGTAAGTCTAGCAGCAGTCATACTCACAGAAGGGCCTGGGGAAGATTTTATTCACATCACACAGTCCGAAGACTGTAGCTACCACAGCCCCAGCATCACTTAGGCTTGCCTAGGAGGACAAGGGGAAAGCCCTCCCTGTGTCTCACAACAAAAGTGTGGATAAACCTATCCCAAACACTAGAGTGAATAAACAACATACCATTGAATGACCAATGGACCACTGAGGTTAGAAAGGAAAGTAAAATATCTGTAAAACAATTAAAACAAGACATAGCAAAACTCATGCGATATAGCAAAAGCAGTATCCTGAGGCGAATTTATACTAATAACCAAATAGAAAGATCCCAGATAAATACCTAATATTGTATCTCAAAGACTTAGAAAGACTAAATCAAACCAAATCCCAAATTATCAGGAGGCAAGAAAATACTTAAAGTAGAAATAACTGGAACCAAAAAATCAATACAAAAGACCAAGAAATGAACCCCCCACTTTGCTTCTAGCTCCCTGCTTGTGGCCTGGGAAAGCAGTTGAGGTTGGCCCAAACCTTGGGACCCCCTGACCCATCCGGGAGACCTGGAAGAAGCTACTTACTGGATCCTGGCTTCGGATTGGCTTTGGACACTGTGGCCTCTTGGGGAGTGAACCAGTGGATAGATCTTTGCCTCAAAATACATTTTTTAAAGTTATAGTAAATTAAAACAACATGGTGCTGGCATAAAAAAAACTGGCATATAGATCGATTTAGCAGAACAGCAAGAGGAGGAATGAAGCTAACTGGTTTTGGACAAACGTGTGAAGAAGATATATCAGAGAAAAGCTAGTCTTTTCAAGAAATGAAGCTGGTAAAATTGGATGCAATTAGATCCATATATCTCAACATATAGGAAAATGAACTCTTGGTATGTGTACTTGAGAGTGGGGTTTCTGAGTCACATGCTAATTCCATGTTTAGCATTCTGAGGAACTGTCAAACATTTCCACAGTGACTATTCCATTTTAAATTCCCAGTAGTAATACAAGATTCCCCAATTTTCCCACATTTTCACCAACATGTTATCTTTCATTTTATTAATAAATATCATCCTGTGCTAAAGTCCTTGGGTGCTTACACTCACGTCAGAGACCCAGGGAAGTTCCTGGCTCCTCGTACTAGATCAGCTCAGCTTTGGTCATTGTAATCATTTGGGGAGTGAACCAGTGTTTGAACGGTCTCTCTCTCCTCTCTTTCCCTCTGTCTTTCTCTTTGCAACTTCTGTTTTCAAATGAAAATAAAATAAACCTTTTTAAAAAATCCATCCTGAGTATGAGGTGATAACTCATAGCTTTTATTTTCTCTTCCCTAATGACTAATGATGCTAAGATTCTCATGTGTTTGTTGAACATTTGTATAACTCTGAAGAATATTTGAATTCTTCCCCTATTTAAAAAATTAGATTGTTTTTATTGTTGAATCGTAAGGGTTCTTCACGTATTCTTTTCAGATACATAATTTGTAAATATTTTCTCTTATGTTGTCAGATTTTAACTGTATCAATAGTATCCACTGGTGGCACAATATTTCTTAATCTTGGTTAAATCCATTTAACCTATTTTTGCTTTGCTTGTTTGCGCTTTTGCAACCACATATAAGAAATAATTGCCTAGAAGCCAACAGAGTGACTTAACATGCTAATCCTTCACCTGCCAGCATGGGCATCCCATATGAGTAACTGTTAATTGCAAGCGTAGCTTGAATTATGGGATGTAGGGGGACCATTTAACTTAATTACTGCCAGTTTCGAAATGTCTAAGAGTACGAATGGCAAGCAATATGGAAGGCTAGAAGATGGGGCCATATTTATTTGTGTTCCTATGGAAACTATTTGAGTATTTGTTTTATATGGATTTTTATTCACTTTTCAAACATGCTAGTAAAGAGCATCCCTCAGCTGTTGGGCAAGCATTTGTAGCTTGTCCGATGCCACATGGGCCAGAGGCTCAATGTTGGGACCTGTTTGGAAAAAATAAACTATCTTGAAATTAAATATATATATTTAATATAAATATATAAATATATAAATATATATATAATATATATTATTATATATTATATATAATATATAATATAAATATATAAATATATATAAATATATATATTAAGTATATATATATATATGTGTGTATATATATATTTAATTTTATATATATATATATCCCGGCTGCACCACTTTTTGATTCAGATCCCTGCGTGTGGCCTGGGAAAGCAGTGAAGGATAGCCCAAAGCCTTAGGACCCAGCATTCATGTGGGAGACCCAGAGGAAGTTCCTGGCTCCCAACTTTGGTCTGGTTCAGCCCTAGCCATTGCAGTCATCTGGAGTGAACCAGCTGATTCAAGAACTCTTTCTACCTCTCCCTTTCTCTATAAATATGCCTTTCAATAAAAAGGATTTTTAAAAAGAATTGTCCAATTCAAGGTCACAAAGACTTATACCCATATTTTCTTCCAAGAGTTTTGTATTTCTAACTCTTACTTTAAAATCTGGCCCACTTTCAGTCAATTCTTGAATACAGTTAGTTAGGGGTCAAAATGAACATTGTTTTGCAAGATTTGTGCTTCTTTCTTTCATTTACTCTTAACTATTTGATGCTTTCTGATGCTATTATAAAAGGATTCATCTTATCTTCAGTTTGGATTGTTCACTGAAGGTAGAAACAGAAGTAATTTTTGCCTGTTGACCTTGTATCCTGCAACCCTGCTGAAGTTACTTATTCATTCAGAAGCCTGTTGTGGTGAATTATTTCACATTTTCTATACAAAAGGTAATGTCACTTAAGTGACATATTATCTTTAAAAGTTGCTTACTTATACCAGTATGAAAGCATATTATCTTTCATAGGTCTAATATTTTCATATGGAAACAAAATATTCATGTAGCTCTTTTTTCCAAATCACATGCAAGTGTCCATTTTTGCACCGCTGCTGAACCAACTCCCCCCTACTCCCAGGTACACCCAGTACTCACTTTTCAGACCACTCCGCGTGCATGCCAGACTGCAGGGAGAATGTTTTTATCATCTTAAGCTGTAGCTTGGTAAGGTTGGACTTTTTGCCAGAGTTGGAATTGGGACTTGGAATACAGAAGTCACTCAGGATATCAGGGATGGCATCTCTCACAAACAGCTGGTCATTCAGGATGCAAAGACTAGAGGAAAAGTAATTTCTCAAACAATTTCACAGTTAGTCCACTCCACACTCCTAAGAACAGGAACCTGTACAACCACTGCCACTCAGCATCCTGATTCCTCCCATATTCCTACTGTACCTTTCTCCCAGATTCTATGGCTAGTGCCCTACAGGCTTTCCTCAGAGCCTATCATAAGACAGCTTACTACCTTAACTTGATTTGTAGAATTAATTCCAATGCATCTGTCCAGCACAACAGCACAAGATAATGGATACGCTAATTTTCACAAAAAAGGCACGGAATCAAAGAGTCTAAGAATTTTATCAAATTCACATAGAAAATGAGTGTTGGGTTCAGAAAAAGAACAAATAACGTTGTCATTCTCACTCAAGAGCCCACACTATTGTCCCACTAGATCAGATTGTGGCTTTAATCTACTGTTGAAGCTTCCCAATATTGAGAAATACCGTGAAGACCATCACATTCTAACAATACTGACCCAGGCATGAATACTGAGTATTCCCACCAGAAACACAGCACTTACCTAGAACTGTTTTTGGGGGTCATAATGAAGTTCTGGGTAAAGACAAATAGATAATCCTGAGAATTACTTTCTATTTGAAGGGTGGAATAAACAAGAAATATTCCGTTAGATTTGCACACACTTTGCATACTCACACAGCATTCCTGATCATGGTATTACAATAAAATGGTTCAGACTGAGACAATGGCTCACTTGGAGTCGGGAGAGCATAGTAGGGATGGAAAAGGCAAAAATTGTAAGAATCTGCTCCAGGTGATTGGATTCCTGTCACACGCTGGGCTTTGAGCAAGCCACCTCACAACTTCACATAATTCCTGTTTCTCAGATGTCTAAGAATTAGATGGTACATTTTGTAAATGAGGGAACTAAGAAATGGGGTATTTGGCTCAAGGTCACAGAGTAAGGGTCTGAGATGGTGTCATCAAAACTACACACAACATGTTTCCTGTGTGCCTGAGCTTATAGGGTAGACAGACATAGGTCTAGGGTAGCCAAGAATGGTTTGTGGCATAGTGGAGGCAACAGACCATTGAACAAAGAACAGGCAGAAAGGGAACAGATTCTGGAAAGTCTGTAGAGTTATGAGAGGCAGCCTAGTCAGAGGGAGAAGTGGTGACCCGAAAGAGATGATTCTACAGGAACTTACCTCCCTTGAACACCCCGTTGACAGAAAAGCCAACTGTAGTATTCTGAAAAGAAAGAATGCAGGCATTCAGGGTCCTTTTTTACCGTCCACCCAACTCCAGCTTCTTGAGGCCTCCCAAGAGAGGAAACAGGTTCTCACCGTCTGAAACCACAGGTTCAGTGAAAAGGAGTCCAAGTTATGTTGAGTTCTGGGCAACATGCTGAGTGTTTCCACAATATCATGGCTTGTGTGCTGTAGCATCTGAATCCGTAAACCTGCAAAAGAAGAAAGATTTGTGCTAACACAATCTGACTCTTGACCCCTACAACCATCACCTTCAAACTCTTACTCCGTTTAGCCTTCCCCATCATACACTTACCGGGGTCCTGGATGTATTTCATATTCCTGCTGTCCTTAAAATATTCGCATAAGCCAATCCTAGAAGATAATGAGGGTACAGATAGCCCAGGCAGTCAACTTGTTGGCAGGAGCTTACCTGTGTCTCTCTGGAAGATAAACAGTCACAGACTGAGTTACAGTACTCACGGGGCAGGTTCCATGGGTTCAAAAGGAATGGTGAGGGAGAAGTAGGCCTTCCTGTGGTAACTATCAAGGAGACACCGGCGATCTCCATAGTCATAGATAAAATAATACCTGTTGGGGAGCAATGAGGACAGGCTATCTTTGTGGTTCAGGCCCCTATGAGACTTGAAAACTCCTCTGAGCTGACCTGCTTTGGGTGGGCAGCCTGTTCCATGCCAATCCTTTTTAGTAGTTCCAAAGGATACTTACTCCTGCAGGAACTGCAAGATCAGCTTCCTCAACATTTCAGTTCCTTTCGGGAGTTCCTGCAATAAAAGGTAATTTTAGATTGCATGGCTTATAAACCCGTCCTTGCAACATTTAAAATCTTTCTTAGTCTTTTCTCCTCACTTGGAAGGTGAATGGCTCATCAATGACATTTGGCAAAAGTAACTCTTGGCCATCCTGGGAAGAGAAGAGGAAGTTAGCAATGGAAGAGGTGGCATTGGATCACCCAGGAAATGAACAGACCCAGAAGGAAGCATGGGTCAGGGAACAGGTGAGGAACAGCCCCACGAATTGCATGAGAAACATTACTGGGGACATCTACGTTGTGTGGTCCTGAAGATCTCTATTATATATAACTTTTGCATTTGCATTTATATGTTTATGGATATATTTTCCAGAGACAGTACCCATGGCTTTCTTGGGAATCCATTTTCTCTAAAACAGATAACTATTATGCAAAGATGTAATCTGTATAGGACCTAAAGGGCTGGGGGGCAGGTGTGGAGTCAGTTTATATACAAAGAGAAGATGGTGATGACATTAGAAGATACTTACCAGGCGTAATAATGTGGGAAAGCACTCACGAACAGCACTATTCAACAGCACAAAGAGAATAAAGTTATTAATAGGTAAGAGTTGCATAACCTCTCCATGTCTACCTCTTCCTCTTCCCATCCTTCCCTTGGGTATCTCCCACCCACACTGCCCTAAACACCCTCTCCAGGACCACAGTTAGCACCACTGGGAACCCAAGCTTCCTGCTTTCTTACTTTTCTCCAAGTCCCTTCAGAAGGCTCTACAAAAAGTAGGGAATGGGATGGGAACCCCGGATTTGCTACTTTTCTGAATGTTCAGCATTCTGCCTGGCCTGAACATGACCAGCTCCTCCCCCAGGGAAGGCCCAGGAGAATGGGTCAGGGAGTGGAGTGAGGCAGGGCTCTGGTGCAGGGAGAGAGAGGCATGGTGATGATGAGAGACAGGGTGTAAAGACAGACCAGGGAGAAGTAGGGGAGTCAAGGAGAGTAGAGCAAAGAAGGAGAGGAAATAAAAGGAAGGGGAAGAGACTGGGCCATGGTGGTGAGAATCATGGTGGGAGAGCAAGAAGTGATTCCCCTGCTGCAGCCCTTTCCTTCAGGAGTCCTTGGCTGGGTCTGAGGCCCAAGGTAGGCAGGAAACAGCTACTATTGCGCTGGAGCACCTGGAGACAGAATGAGCCTTTGTCACCTGTTTGAGCTCAGTCTTGTTGAGCATGGCCACTGGAGCAGCCTCAGGGGCAGGAGACTTTCCTCACGATAAGGGAGGGGTCAGGCATCAGCTCAACATGAGGTTGAGTGTCTGGGACCCCTTTTAGGATCACCACATTCTCTCTTCAGAATCTCCCTGCAGCTGTGTCTATGAGTCATTAGTGTCTTACCTGAGGAATCAGACACATCACAGGCTCCCAGGGATCCTCTGAGAGATGTGGTGAAGAGGAAAGAACATGTGCTTCCCTTTACAGGACTGCCCCTCAATATCTTCAAGCTCTTCCACCATTGACCTTCCACTCTGCCTGGACAAGCCCTCTCTCACTGCAGGTAGCCAGCCCCTGACCCCTTGCCTCAGGGAACCTGGGTTTCTCCTGAAGGATGGCCTTCTTCCCAGCATTGTGGCTGAACAGACAGCATCATGGCAGCCACCCAGGGCCTCGGCCCTCAGTGTCAGGAAGGAAAGCTCCCATGTTGTCCCGAGACTGGTAGGGGGCTCTTTCAGGTGCAATGGAAAGGGGCCCCTCTCAGAACAGGGACAGGAAAAAACCCTGGGCTGGAAGACCCACTTCAGTCCTATCACCAGGAGCTGGGTCAAGACTGAACATTCTATCCCGGGTCAGAGCAGGGAGCCCTGCTTCCTGAAACACACCTATGGGAGGGTGTGCTGGAAGAGGCCAGTATAGGGAAGGAAAAAGCATATTTTCAAGCAGGTGGAAAAGGGAGAAGGTCAGAAGAAGGAAAAGAGACTTCTAAGTAGAGTTGAGGGGCAGAGAGAGGAGAGGGTGGGGTCATGCTTTTCCCAGAGGGCCAGGGCTGCTTCCTCCTGCAGGTGGCACTGTCAGGGGCAGCTCAGCCTCCCAGGAACAAGGAAGGTCCCTAAAAAGGTGACAGGGATTACCACTGACCTTACATAGGCAGCATGGTTAGGGAAAGTGACACACAAGGGGTTTCCTTGTAGCCACAATTCTTCGAGCATCAGCTCTTTTACCTTGTCCAGTTCCCATACTGACCTCAGCTGAAAAACATACAAAGAAAAATGAACAAGGAGTCCCAGGGAAAGAGATATCCTGTTCCCTTCCTCTCCCATAGGTACTTTTGTCTACACATTGTCACCTGATGTGCACCCTCAACCTCAATTTCTTGTAGCTCCCTCTTCTTACCTCATTTGTGGAAAGGTTCAGGATCTTGACATTAGGGGCCTTATCGACAATTTCACACAGGCCAGTCAGCTGGTACAGTTTGTTGCCACTCAAGTTCAAAGACAGCAGCTTTGGGAAAGGAAGATTTAGAATGGCAGGTGTTATTTAGGACCTGGGTAACAAATATACCCTCTATTCCTTCTCCTCTACCCTTTGAACTATTTGCCTAGGACCTCACCTCAGGGAAATCAGTTTGAATGACCTGTAGAGTAGCAGCCATGCAGTTTCTTCGATTCAGAATCATGTCAATATGATGGCCTACCAAATCTTCAAGAAACCAAGAGAAGGAAATCAGAAGTAGAAGGATCGGTAGTGCCAGCATCCTCCACTTTGTCTTATCCCTAAGACTCCCTCCAAGGCAGATCCTCTGCCTTCACCTGACTTTGGAATTATTGCTGTCAGGCATACCTGGGTCCAAACGGAGTCTCTGCAGGTCAAGAGATTGCTGGTCAGCATTATATCGTTTGTTTAGAGCCAGCTGCAGAGACAGAGAGCACAGAATGAGGCTATGGGATGTTGGAGACTGGGAAATTTGGGAGTACAAGAATAAGTGGAATTTCAGAGTGGACACATAGTGTGCTTTGAGTCTGTATTACCCTTAGTTTCTCTATTTTCTCTGGCTGGAACTGATTCTGCACAGAGTAGGGAACACCAGAGCGAAGGACAAAGACAGGTATCTGTGAAAGAAGGGGAGGAGCAAGCACCAGGACCTTTGATCTCAAGAATCACCACAAGCCCCTGGTCCTGGGAATCAGTATTGCAGTGTCCTCAGCACACACCGTTTGGTTCTCCTCATCATAAATTTTGTGGCTGACTTCTGACAATGCAACAGCAGTGGTAGCATTCAGGATGAAGAACCGGGCCTGATGTTTCACGTAGTGGAACTATGAGGAGTGAAGGTAAAAAGCAGTCTCAGTCCATTGAGTCAAGTCACACTTCCCTCCCTTTGCTCATTCATCTGGCTTCACCATCCTTTCTTACATCAACTGGAGTGAAGGGTACAGTGCACTGGCTCTGGATTGACTTCATCAGCCATATCTTGTTATAATTTCTTCCATATGGAATCTAAGTGTAAAAAGAAGGAATAAGGGTTGAGGCACCAAAGAGTTAAGGGTTAAGAAAGGCCTCAAGAAAGTATTATTTCCCAATCTTTTGCCTAGTTAATCATTTTATTTGAAAGAGAGACAACCGATTCACTTCCCAAATGCCTGCACCTGCTAGGGCTGGGCCAGGACAAAATGAGGAGCTCAAAACATCATCTGGGGCTCCCATGTTGCTGGAACAGACCCAAGCATTTCAATATTTATCTGCTATCATCATCAGAGTCCTCATTAGCATGAAACTAGAATGAAAATATAATACTTGCACCTCAAATTAGGCTCTCTATACTGAAATGTGGGCATTCCAAACAGGGACTTTACTGTGCTAATGGCTCATTCTTCTACTTATTTTTAAGTGACTGTTGACAAGATTTGCTGTGTGCCAAATCTGAGTTTCCCAGATCCTCCTTCTCCATCCAGAATCTCTCCTCCATCAGGTCAACTCAAGGTTTTAATGCAACCTTCCTTCTACAGAAGGTTTCACAATATTCTGTCTAATGCAAACATTGTTAAGACACTCACCAGGACCTTGAACCAGATATCAGTGGTTTCATTCTGTGCTTTCATATTTGTTGGTCCCTCTGGAGAATTTTTTTCTATCCACACAGTAACACAAATTTGATTATTATAGCTCCTTTTCACTGTTCTCTTTTCATGAGGCACACTATAAGGAGTGCTGGAAAAAGAAGAAAGGGGAGGGCTTCATAAGTGCTAAGACATTCTTCCATACCTACTCGTTACATTGATACTAGAGCTGCAGGAGGGATTGCTGAGCTATTATTCCACTTCTTCAGCCTTTCCATGAGAGAAAAAAAAATCAAGGCTACAGATAGTGACATAGTTGCATGGTCTCAGGGCCTGCTTCAGGCAAACCAGGCTGCTTGGTTACTTACCACCACTTTTGGAAATCTCTGAGCAAAGTCCGCATTGCTACATCCTGCTGGAGGTATGAAGGCAGAAGCTGGTATCCACTGTGTTGATAACGAATGCTTTCATTGCTGAAATTATCCTGATAAGTGCTCCCAACATTCCTATCTCCAACAGGAGAGCTAGTGTCTTCACTGTGTTCTGGAATTGGGAATAAAAAGTAAATTAAAGTCCAAAGATGTATCGATATTAATATGTCCAATATCAATATGTCCAATATCAAAAGTCCAAAGACATATCAATATGTCCAAAGACATACATCATGTCATAGGTAACAAATGGTAGATTAAGGAGCATGGAAAGTGGAACCTGCCCTTTGGGACCATTCGCATAAACCCCAGAAAGCAGACTCCTCTGCCTATTCATAAATTTCACAGGTGACATATAAAGAGAGAAATCTTGAAGGAGAAGCACCTGTGTTGAACCTTGTAGCCAATAAAGAAGAATTTATAAAGAACAGAAGTGTGTATACTCATGGATTAGATTGCACTAGCATGTCCTTCTCTGGCTTCTTTAATTTACAAATATACCAACACCTTGAAGGTAAACTTTGTCATACCTCCCCAATCCAACTGACTACGAAACTGATTCTGTGCAAGCTGAACTTTCTTTTCTAGCATAGTGAAAGTTTTAAGGACAGGCCAGACTGATGCAACAGCCTCATAACCTTTTCCTTGCTTATACCATTGCTCTGAGCAATTCTTGGATTGAAACATTCAGAGACAGCTTTCTTTGGGATAACCGTGAACTGCTTTCAGCTCAGGGGCTAACATTTCCTAAGTTTGACTCTTCTATAACAGGGTTTAAATGGCAAACTGGAATTCTATGCATCAACAGCAATTTCCAAATATTTGGAAACATCCCTGCTATCTTTCTATTGTTTAGATCTAGCTTGATCTAGTTCCGATCTATTATGATAAGAGAATACTATATATGATTTCAACGCTTTTAGACTTGTTGAGGTTTGTTTGATGGCTCAGGAGATGCATGTTGAAAGACACTATACTCTAGTAGTTAATTATTCCATGCTCTCTCAGGTCACAATTGGTTCAATGCTGACCACTTTACAATGCATGATTACAACCAGACATCAGATCAACTCCTCAGCAGGATGGGATAATCATTGCTTTCTATGTAACTTTTGGCCAGGACAATATTGCTACTCACAACCTTTAGGACATTCCCTGCGTGTCACTGAGAGTGAAATTGAATGTGAATGGACAATTTGACCAAAAAATTCCACTGGGTAGCTCCCAAAAACTTGGAAGTAGCCTAGAACATTCTTTCCTTCACACTGTACATCTCTTTTTTTCTTATTTTAATCTCTTTTATTTCAGTGCACACATTTCTTTATGTCACAAAAAGTAATTTTTTGTGCAAAAAGTAAAAAAATACTATATTCATTTAACATCTCTGCCAAGCTTCTTATTGTTGGGTCCTTGGAAAAATGGCTTCTATTTATTCCTATCCCAAGTTACACTTCTTTTTTTATTTTATTTTATGTCACAGTTTCATAGGCTCTGGGATTCCCCCAACTCCTCCAAAAAACCCTCCCCCCATATTGAATTCTTCCATATTGTTGCAGTAGTACAGTTCATATCCAGTCCTGATTCCTTCATTGAGGGCATGGACCATGTAGTAAGTCCAGTATCATATTGTCCAGATAAATTCAACAGTTTCATTGGGAGACCATCCCTGGTCTGAAAGTAGAGCTGGCAGAATATCATCCCTTCCAATTAAAAGCCACTACACAACTTCAACAATTTACAACATCATGAAGTTAATTGACTTGGTATTGAGTGACCAATATGGTAGAAAATGCAAGTTCTTAACCACATCCTGTGACTACTTCATTGACATTTCAATTTTAGTTTATACACAACCGGCTGCTACACACCTTAAAATAGTTATAGGGTACTTTTCAGCTGTCTTGTATCTATTTTAATTTTTATATTTAGCAGCATATAGTATTCAAGCATGATTTCTACTGAACTTCACAAATTTTAGGCTAGTCCAAACAGGCTTATAACTCAAACATGCCAAATATTAACAATTGAGGAGCAGAACACACACTGTACACCTATCAATTGAACTTTCATATCATATCTGGAGTCCATACATTTCTCACCCCATCTGTTGTTGCCACACTGACTAGGTCACTAACATCTACATCTTGGATTAACAGTATCTGTTAACTTTACCTCTGCTTTTATACTAACTCCCTAACTACCTACTTGCAACACAGCAGGCCAATAAAATTGTCACTCCCCTGTTGAAAATCCTATAAGAAGGGTTTGAAGCCCATGCAATATGTTAAAAAGCCATGAATTCATAATAAGAAAGAAGGAAAGAAAGAAAGAAGGAAGGAAAGAAAGAAAGAAGGAAGGAAGGAAGGAAGGAAGGAAGGAAGGAAGGAAGGAAAGAAAGAAACAAAGAAACAAAGAAAAAAGAAGTAGGGAGGGAGAGAGGAAAGGAGAGGAGAGGAAAGGAGGGGAAAAGAGAATAAAGGAAAAGAAAAAAGAAGCTTGCTGGTGACAACTGTCTACTTCTAGGAAACTAACTCACTGTTATGAAAATTCACAAAATTGATTGAGGGCACATGGTCAACCAGGGAATGGTGTACAGAAAGTCTTTTTTTTTTAAATATTTTTTTAAATTAGAAAGGCAGATATACAGAGAGAAGAGACAAAGAGGAAGATCTTCCATCCATGGTTCACTCCCCAAATGACCACAACAGCAGGAGCTGTGCCAATCTGATGCCAGGAGCCCAGAGCATCTTCCAGGTCTCCCATACAGGTGCAGGGTCCCAAGGCTTTGGACCATCCTTGACTGCCTTCCCAGGCCACAAGCAGGGAGCTGGATGGGAAGCCAGCCGCTGGGAATAGAATCAGCTGCCATATGGGATCTCAGCGCATTCAAGGTGAGGGCTCTAACCACTAGGCCACTGCACTGGGCCCAAGAATCATTTCTGAGAACTGAAAATTCCTTCAGAAATAATGTCATTGAGGGGAGATGTTAAAGTGAGCTACCGAACAGTTATAGCTACAACCTCAGGTGAGTCCTTGTATTGGAAATCACACAGGACAATACACAGGTGATACCAAACTACACAGGGAGCTAAGAGATGCTACAGAGAAAAGATGTACTTGGAGACTTGATCTAGTAATTCAAAATTCAAGAGCAGAAAAACATGTGTTTTAAAAACAACCGAACTAAACAAGACATTTCTCAATAGAAAAAAAAAAAGAAACAATGACTAACGGGTAAATAATAATAATAATAAAAGCCAAAAAATAATACTAATTCTCAGGGAAATACAAATCAAAATTACAGTGAGATATTACCTCCATAGTAGTATTGGCTATTATCAAAAAGACAAATAAGAAATGTGGAGAAAGGAATACCCCTGAAAATTGTTGCTGGGACTGTTAATTAGTATATTCATTGTGAAAAACAGTGTGGAAGGAGGTTTACACTCCCAGGTTTGCTGCAGCACTATTTACAGCAGGCAAGATAAGGAAACAAACTAATTGTTCCTCCACAGATGAATGTTACATACACACAATGCTGTATTAGTCATAACAAAAGGTAAACCATGCATAGAATGTGGGTTTTTATATTAAGTGAAATAAGTCAAGCACCAAAAGATAAATATTATGTGCATGATCCCATTTGCATGTGCGGTTTGCAAAAGTAATCTCACTGAAGTTAAAAATTCAGTGGCTATCAGATACTGGGGGAGGTAGTGGGGAAGGAAGGGGAAAAGAATGATTGATGAATAGTACATTATAGCTATATAGGAGTGTGTCCTTGAGTTCTATTGCACAGTACAGTGACTATATGTTACTATACCATATATTTCTCTACTAAAACCCAAATGGAAGCATTTTTGGTGCTTTCCCTATTAAAAAAAAAGTTAAATCTTGAAAGAATAAGAATGCTTATCCCTTACTGGATATTATTTATGTATTGTACATATGTAAGAAAACATCACAAAAAGACCATAAATATGTACCATTTTAATATCCAATGAGATTTTTAGAAAGTGTCAGTATAAAACTATATATCAGAATGACATTTGCAAGACAGCAACTTAGAAATTTAGAAGTATTATACTAGGAGCATTATACTACTAATAACACTCTAACAGAATATCTGTGAGAATTTAGAGACTCATTAAGAAGCTACAACATTTATACTGTGAGAAAACTAAGAAAGGATCCCAATAAAAAGAATAAGAAAGTTTGCCTTGAACATGCAAGGAGCCCTATGAGCCCTGGTTCTAATCATGGTGGCCCCGCTTCCCACCCAGCTCCCTGCTTGTGGCCTGGGAAAGCAGTCGAGGATGACCCAAAGCCTTGGGATCCTGCACCCACGTGGGAGACCTGGAAAATGCTCCTGGCTCCTGGCTTCAGATTGGCTCAGCTCCAGCCGTTGTGGCAACTTGGGGAGTGAATTAACAGACGGAAGATCTTCCTCTCTGTCTTTCCTCCTCTATGTATATCTGACTTTCCCCCCCCCCAAAAAAACACACATAAATATAAACTTCCTGAAAATATGTGCTGGGGGGACTTTCTAATAAAAACAAAAAGACTTTACTTGAGACCCCTACATTCACCACCCTATGAAGAATATACATTCCTCACGGCCATGTAGTGGGAATAAGAAATAAGCTACTTAGGTTTTGAGGTTGCCTATAACTCACAACATTTCCCAGCCTCTCCTAACATATCTTATTTGAAATTTAAAACCTCCCCCAGCATCTGATAGTCACTGTATTTTTAATTTATTTGAGGATTTCCTTCAGAGTTATATAACTTTCATGATGAGACAAATGATATTTAATATACAATAAGGTCCATAAAGAGGACAGCTATAATGATTAAATAACAAAATTATTTTGAGAAAGCATGAAAATTTACATAAAACAAGGATTGTATCTAGTTAGCTTGACAGGTAAGTTGTTTTTCATGCTCAAGGGTGAGGTCATATAGTCACTATAGATAACACTCTCAATGACTTCCACTTACAGACTTATTTCTTGCCATTACATTAGAAATATTCTTACACAAAGTGTAAGATTCAAGTAAGACATTAATGAAAGAAGAAAAATGAGTTAAAGAGAATAATAAACTGCTTAAAGACAGTAATGGATTATAATAATTAAAAAGGTAAATTCCATTGTTGTCAGTGAATGACAAAATCTGAAAGTGAGAGATAAAGTTTGAACGGGGCGATCTTAAATATTTTGTGAAAGACAAGTTTCTCAAATGCTCAGTGGAAAAATATTCCACCCTTGTGTAAACTGGAGAAACTATTCCTCGCTCTGGGTCTCAACATTCTATACTAGCAGATCATCTAAAAAAAATCTGCAACAAGGAATTACCTCTGCTTGCATGTGTCTCACATTCTATTGATGGTACAGCATGTTCCTCTTGTGGTTTCTCAGACTCACCGTCTTGCAGAACTAGCCTGGAACCACTGCGATGAGAAAAAAATAAAGTGACTGTTATTTAAACTACATATATGATAATATAATATGTAATTAATATGTAAATGTATACACATTGTTATGTGTGTTATATAATACATTCTAGTATAAAACATGATACATTTAAGGTTATTTCAAACAGTATTTAAATTATCCATAAATGTAAGCAGAATTCTCTGTTGAACTTCACCAGTTTGGACTTTTTACATTAATTTTGATAAATGAATTTGTAAAATTATATCACCTATAATTTTACTTAGAGTTTTCTCAAATAATTCCATTATTAATTTTTCCACACCAAGAAAATGAAGAAATTTTCAAGGAGCTTAACAAATAATACATTGAAATTCATGAGTGAAGGGTTATGGAAACAGTATATGATTAATTAGTTTAAGCTATTTAACCATATCAAACACAAGATTATGGCAATCGATTCCATATGTACTTTTGGAAAACAAATGACCTTCACAATAGATATAAGGGAAAAGTTATTTTTTAAAAGATTTATTTTTATTTTTTTTTATTGGAAAGGTGGATATACAGAGAGGAGAGACAGAGAGGAAGATCTTCCGTCCGATGGTTCACTCCCCAAGTGAGCCGCAACGGCCGATGCTATGCAATGCCGGTCCGAAGCCAGGATCCAGGAGCCTCTTCCGGGTCTCCCACACAGGTGCAGGGTCCCAAAGCTTTGGGCCGTCCTCGACTGCTTTCCCGGGACACAGGCAGTGAGCTGGATGGGAAGAGGGGGCCGCCGGGATTAGAACCGGCGCCCATATGGGATCCTGGGCATGCAAGGCGAGGACTTTAACCACTGCGCCATCGCGCTGGGCCCGGGAAAAGTTATTTTAAAAAAATATTCAGTGAGTGAAACTGCTGACTGCGGCACTAGCATGCCATATGAGCACTGGTTCATGTCCTGCCTGCTGCACTTCCAGTCCAGCTCCTTGCTTGTGACCTAGGAAGGTAGCAAGGGGATGGAAGAAGCTTCTGGTTCCTAGCTTTGGATCAGCTCATCTCTGGCCTTTGTAGTCATTTGGAGAGTGAATCAGTGGATGGAAGATCTCCATATCCCTCTAATTTTTTCAAATAAATATATATTTTTAAACTTATCCGATAGGCAGAGAGAGAAATAGGGGGAGTAGAGAAAGGGAAATAGGGAGAGAGGAAGGGAAGATGGGAGGAGGGGAGAGAGAACTCTTGAGCTGCTGGTTCACCTAGCATCTGGTGATATACTGCCCAAATGGCAATGACTGCAGGAGCTGTTGCCAAGCCAGGAGCCAAGAACTCCATCTGGTTTCCTACGTGAATGGCGGGGGCCTTAAGCACTTGCACCACTTTCTGTAGCTTTCCAGGTGCGTTTACAGCAAGCCGGGTGGGAATCGGAACAGCAGTAATTCAAGCCTTGTATACTCGTGTCAGAATCAGCAGCTTGAACTGTGCCACAACGCCCATGTCCCGAAACAAATTCTTAACTTTAACATTTTTGTAGATACATCAAATTCTTTGGAGCCGAGGAGGCCACCTCAGAGCACAGTGGAGAAGCCAGGTTAGGGCTTGTCTCAGAGGGCAGAGGTGGGCGGGTTCACCGCGCAGCCCTAAGGAATGACAGCCAAGTTCTGGTAATTTTGTGCCGTCCTCCCATGCCGGCTTCCCACTTCAGTCTCTAACCCCACCCACAGTTGCGACCATCCTCTGTCCCCCTCTCCTGCCCCAGTGCTTTGTCTCTTCCACTTCAGTCTCCAACAATGACTCCTGCAAGTCCAGGATCCAATCCAGCATCCCGCTGCCCCTCCCTCTACTGTTTCTTTGCTCCAGAACAAAACTTTGGCTACCTCAGAAAGCGCCTCCCCACTAACTCCACAAATACTTTTGGCGTTCTCCATGCTATTCTGAGGTGACTTGGTTGCCAATAAAGCCATACAATCTGACTAAACGCACCGACCAGTTTGTTTTCTACCAGAATTAAGTTAAAACTCGTCCCCAACTCTTCAGAATTTTAAATACGGCTTCACTACAATGTGTTGAAGCCATATTAATACAAAATCTTGACAACCAGCAGCGTGGGATCCTTACCTGGGTTCCAACTGCTTGTTCACACGCGGCGGCATAATTGCCCGACTACCGCAACAGCAAGGTTTGCGGCCTTTAATCCTCCCAAGATCACGTAATTGAGTCCCGCGAGATCACAGAGCAGCATGTGACCTATAGGAACCACAGCTATAGGATAGCTGTCCTGAAACCCTGCTCAGCTTCTTGTCTAGTCATGGTAGTTACTGCATTGCCATTTGTCAGCTTTTTAGACTTCGAGAATTGAGTCCTTGTGTGACTGAGAGAATTGACCTCCCCCCCCCCCCAGCAAAGCCGCTGGCGTGTAGCAACTACTTTTAACGGCAAATGCTGCACTTAATACGTGGTGGTCGCTACCATTTTACCATCATCTCACACATTTTTAGAGTTCAAGAATTTACAATCTTAACGGGACTGAGACCTGTGAATCTCATATGACCATACGGTTGACATATGACGATAGAAACCACTGATCACAAGATGGTAAAGGCTGGTTGCCATTTCAACACGTTTTTAAATTTTCAGAATTCATAATGTCATGAATAGAAGAGCTGAAGCTCACGAGAACAGTGCACAACACATCATGATAGCAGTCAGTGTTCACACACCCAGCCCTTGCCTTGCGATACTGGTGGCTATTTTGCTACAATTTCAGGCATTTTTCAGAGTTCAAGAATTCAGTCATGCTGGCTTTGTGGCATAGTGCTAATGTGGCCAACTTGTAATGCTGATATCCTATATGGGCACTGAGTTGTGTACTGGCTGTATCGCTTCAAACAGGAGTAAAAGCAGGAGGATAGCTGTGGTGCTTAAATGATAGCACTGTTGAATGATGGTGGTAACTACTTCACTCTGATTACATAGATGTACAGAGTTCAGTAACTCGATTTTTATAATTCATAATTATTTCATAATTCATTATTTTCAAGGAAAAAGTACAAAGAGTGCCTAGCATGATGGCTTAGCTAGCTAATCCTCTGTGCACGAGCACTAGCATCCCTTTCAGGCACTGTTTCATGTCCCAACTGCTGTACTTCCCATCCAGCTTCTGGCTTACCACCCAGGAAAGCAGTGGGGGATGACCCAAACCTTGGTATCCTGCATCCACGTGGGAGACACATAGGAAGCTTCTGGATCCTAGCTTCAGATCATATCAGCTCTGGTCACTGGGTCTATTTGGAGAGTGAACCCTTGGATGGAAGAGCTTCTCTCTCTCTCTCTCTTTCTCTCTGTCTTTCTAATTACAAAAATAATTAAATCTTTAAAGGGGGGAGAGGGAAGGAAAGAAATGAGCAGAGAGGGAGAGGTACAGGGTATCCACAGATCACTGTGGGAGAAGAGAACATTTCCTTTTTTCCCCCTAAGATTTATTTTATTTTTATTGGAAGGGCAGAGTTACAGAGAGAGGAGAGGCAGAGAGAGAGATGTTCCATCTTCTGGTTCACTCTTCAAATTACCACAATGACCAGAGCTGACCTGATTTGAAACCAGGAGCCAGAATCCTCTTTCAGGACTCCTATAAGGGTATAGATACCCAAGGACATCCACGGAAAAAGGAAGGTCTCTTCAATAAATGTTGTTGGGACAACTGGTTAACACTCTGCAGAAATAAGAAGCAAGAGCCACACATTTTACCATACACAAAGATCAAATCTAAATGGATAAAAAATCTAAACCTACACCCAGAAACCATCGAACTTTTGGAAGTACAAGTTGGATCTACTCTGCAAGATATAGGTGTAGGCACTGCCCCCTCCCATGCTCACCCACAAGCCTGGTTCTCACATGTGCTGGTGGGTGCTACAACCCAGCCTTGCCCTACTTGCCCCTAGTCTCAGTTTTCACCAGCAGCCTAGTCTAGACCAGATCACTCCCAGCCTTGGCTCTTATGAGTACTGTCAGATGCAGTGACATTGTTGGGGAAACCCTAAAGCGCCCCTACCTGGCTTGGCCTTTCCCCAGCTTTTCAGGTTTTAGTGGGTACTGTGGATTTGCTCAGGCAGACCTGCCCCTATCCCGAGTTCTTATGTGCATTGGTGGGTGCTGTGGCATGACTGGGACTACCCCAAATTACCTCTACCATGCCCTTCCCCAGGAATGGTTCTCTTACACATGCAGGCTTGTACTCAGCTAGGCTCAGTCTGCCCGTAGTCCCAGATTTTGTCAGTGGTTGTTATATGGCCTGGCCTAGTCTGTCCTGTCCCAGCACCAACATCCACAAGCAGATGCTATGTCCTAACATAGCCCAGTCTGCCTACAGCCTGACTTTTGTATGTGCTGGCAGGTGCTGCAGCCTGGTTTGGGCTACAGTTGCAACTTAGCGTGGCCCATCTGCCCCAGTCCTAGCATTTGTGCTGGGTGCCTTGACTTTACCCAGGTAGGCCCCTTGGATTCCCTCTTCTGATCCATCACATTTCAACTCTCTCTATTACCTTCAGTCGTAATATTCTGGTCCATGGAAGCCCCTAGAAGTCATTTTGCACATGTCCAATAAGCAGTTGTTGGACCCTGCTCTCAAACCCCCTTCTCTAGGCAATTTGCGGCAAAACCCTCATTCCTGTTGGCACATGCCAATGACATATGCTAGTGACAACAGGGGGCTGAGGTGCATACAGGCTCTGGAAGCATAGCACCTGAGCTCCACCCTGTCCCATCCCCTATTTATATCTTTTAGCTAGAATAGGTTGGCATATAAAAACAATTAAGCATAATGACCATATTCATGTATTAAGAGGGGCCACCTTTGTGGTCCAGTGGGTTAAGCTGCTGCCTGAAACACTGGGATCCCATATTGAGGCACTTAAATGAGGAGCAGGAACCTGTAACATAAAGGATGAAAATAGCATTGTGGTGGAAAATTTCAAAGATCTAGGAGTCAGCATTGTGTTGCATCTCATATCAGAGTAATGTCCAGGCTGCTCTACTACTAATTACATTCTCTGTTAATGTGTCTGGAAGTGCAGTGAAAGAAGACCCAATAACTTGAGCCCCTGCCATGCATGTGGAGCCTTGAATGGAGTTCCTGGCCCTGGCTTTTACCTGGCTCAGCTAACATTGCCGTAAGCCATTTGGGGAGTTAACTAATGGATGGAAAAATCTACCCCTCCTCTCTTTGTCATCCTACCTTTCAAATACATAAATAAATAAATCATTTCTAAAATCAAAGCATAATCATGCAGGCAATATAGAAAGAGGTAAAATGGGACATTGCAAATTTAAAATATGGGGAAGAAAGGATTGCAAATATAGCATTCTTTACTGGTATCCTTCATCTCATTCTATTTTGTCTCTCTAAATTTATAATCCATATCAACTTGCAATCTTCTAAAAACAGTTTCTTATAACTCTAATTTGCAGTTTCAATTTTCACATTATCTGCAAAACAAAAATGCAGTCCTACCTAAAATAATAAGAACATAATCAAAACATACTAGTAGCGAAAATATTTTATCCACAAGGCAGACCGCAACAGAGGGAAGGAGAAAAAAATGTGAATTACAATGAAACTAGAAAAGTATCAAAATCACAGTGCTAGTGGAAATGAGTGAGGTAGGTTGTTGTCTTTGTACAAAAACCGTGAGACCAAGAGCAGTGGCAAGCAAGGTAGCAAGGCTTACTTAGGTAGAATGTCTGTTGGAGAATATGGGCACCTCTCCAGACAGAATATAAGAGAGTGACCAGCCATTCAGACTGAGAAAGGCAATGTTACATGTTTGAATGGAGAGAATGCAACTGGCAGGCTAGGTGGCATTTCAGGAAAAGCTGAGAAGTGAGCATACTGTCTATACTCAGTCTGGCAATTGTAACTGGAATGGGGTTCAGTTCTTCCCACTGCTTCTCTTTCCCCTCCTCCCTCTTCTCTGGGGCAGAGGGTCTACTGAGAATAAAACCCTGCCAGGGTTTCAGTAATCAATGCTTCAGACTGGGTAGCCCACATGGCACCAATCAGAAGAGCTTCCCCTATGGAATCTGCCTTGGAAGAAGACTGAAGGTTTTATTGTCCACTGTTGTCAGGTTGGGTAACCCATTTGGTACTGAGTAGAGAAGATTTTCCTGGGGAGCTTTCTTTGGGGAGGGAGTAGAGAAAGGCTGGACCACTTGCAAAGTTATCGGGCTCTGGGCAGGACTCTGTTGTCTAAAATACTGGGTTGCTTCCAAGGCAAGCTTCTGAGCTTCTGCTGATGTTTTGTTTTGTTTTCCTGAGATTCCTCTCACACATGTAGGCTAGTTTCTAACTCGCTACTTAACAGCAGTAGCAAGACCTTAGCTATCAACAGCTATTGTAACTATATATTGATTATTTTCTCTAGTTAAAATGCATTAGTGACCTAATAGGTCAAAGAAAAGCCCAGCTATTTGCTGCTTACTAGAAACTCACTTCACCTGTAAGGGCACACATAGAATGAAAATGATAGGATGGAATAAGTTATTCAATACAAGTTGAAAACAAAGAAAGCAAGAACAGCTATACTTCTATCATACGAAACAATTTTAAAACTAAAGGCAGTAAAAAGGGAAAGTGGAGGAACTAACATTCATGAGGCAGGAATTGAGTTTAGTGGTGTAAGTTGCCACCTGCTTTCTATATCAGATCTTGCTTTCTATTAATGTGCACCATTGTGACGCATCAGATAATGGCTCAAGCACTTGGGTCTCTGTTATTCGTGTGGGAAATCTGAGTTGAACTCTGGACTCCTGGTTTTGGGCTGGTCCAACCCTTATTGCTTTGGGTGTTTTGGAAAATGAGCCGGCAAATGGAAAATATCTTTCTATGTCAGTTTCTGTCTGCCTCTGCCCTTCGGTCTTGCACATGAAATGAAAAATTACTAAATAAAGAAGAAAACACTCATGAAAGCATACGTAATCAATACTAGAACACTTTAGTACATAAAGAAAATAATAATGTACTAAAAACCAGAGAGACCCCAATGTCTAGGTGAGGAATGACTACTAAGGGATATTCATGGAAAAGGCCACTGTAATTGCAAGTAAGCAAGGATACTGAGACTGAACAGTTTGGAAAGGAAAATGGAAAAACCTTTAAAAGTCAGATTGAAACACCAGCACTGGGAGACCTGAGGTGGGGTAGTTACCAGCAACCACCACTGGATACCACTTACTGGAACACATTAAAGCTAGACAGCTGGGGGCTTACCTGGCAGGGCTAGATCATAGTACTTACCAGTGACAGTAGGAACCAAGGTGCATAGTATTAGGCTGGACTGTAACACTAACCAACACATGACAGAATCAGGTCTAGAACAGAATATGTTGGGGAGGAAGTATGTGAGCTCACTGCAGTGCAACTGAAATCCTTGCTGGTATGCACAAAATCTGTGGCTGGGGACAGACCTGGCTGGAGAGCTAAAGGGATATTCCAGCTGGGTTGGGGTTCCCACCAGTGAGCACAAGAATCAGAATGGAGGCAGCGGTCTGGACTAGACATGGCTGCAGTCTCCCTTGGCATGGTTGTGGACTGGATCTGGGGAGCAACAGACTGGGCTGGATTCCAGCAACCACTGTTGTTTTTGGTTTTGTTTTTCCCTGGAGGCAACCTCAGTTTCGTTATTTTTTTAATATTAATTATATTGCATTATGTGACACAGTTTTATAGGCACTGGGATTCCCCCCACCCCCTCCATAACCCTCCCTCCATGGTGGATTCCTCCACCTTGTTGCATAACCACAGTTCAGATTCAGTTGAGATTCTTTCATTGCAAGCATTTACCAAGCATAAAGTCCACCATCTTATTGTCCAGATAAGATCAGTGGCTTGTTGGGGAGACCATTTCTGGTCTGAAGGTAGAGCCAACAGAGTATCATCCTGATCAATTAAAAGCCCCAACATAACATCAGTAACAATTTATAACGTTATGGAATTAACCAATATGTTAAAAAAATGCAAGTTCTTAACCACATCCTGTGACTTCTTCATTGACATTTCAATTTTAGTTTATATATAACTGGGTTCTATACACCTTAAAATGGCTATAGATTACTATTCAGCTGTCTCGTGTCTATTTTAATTTTAGCATTTAGCAGTTTATAGTGCTGAAGCATGATTTTGCTGAACCTGGCTGTTTTTCAGGTAGTCTAGACTGGCTCATAACTCTAACAAGACATTTGTCAACAGTTGAGGTGCAGAACAGTTTTAGGAGGGGTGTGCAGAGAAATCTTCAATACCTTAGTGAGGAGTAACTAAACTTTGTGCCCTACCTAGTAAGGTATAAGTAAATCCACGCTAAATTGTGGGATCTTTAAAAGGTGAAGGTGTGTGGAAGGGGGAATCTCTAGGCCTATAGAGCTGTATCATAAAAATAAAAAGGAAAAAAGGTAGGAATTAGCACCAGATAGTTGAAATACTCAGGGCATTGCCTCTATGAGAAATTAATGTAGTTCTGCTGGGATCCTAGTTAGTACTTGTTAGAAGGTAGTCAAAAAAGCACAAGACTAGGCCCTTCTCACTCTCTGACTTCTTGTCTCAACATACGGTCCCTCTTATAACCAACCTCAGCATGAAGCTTTCAGCAGACAGAAGCTGAGTTGATGGGACAACCTGATTCTGGACATTTAGCCTCCAAAATTGTGAGCTAAGTAAACTTGTTTTATTTATTAAACTCTCAAGGTAAGCATTTTCTTATAGCAATGGAAAATAGACTAATACACAAGAATAAATTTAAATACTTTATTATAAACATTTTGAGAATATAGACTGATTTTTGTATCAGTACTTTTGAGAACTTTTTAAAACTATATATCTTCTAAGTTTATTATAGACTTCTTTCATTTTCCACTTTTAGAACTAGAAAATACAAAAATACACTGCAAATTAGATTTAATAAGGAAAAAAATAAGTAAATTATTCATGTGCTTTCCTTGCAGAAAGCTAAGAATAAAAACAAAGACATAGTAACAACGATAAAGTATCATGAACACCAACACATGAAAACAAGAAATGGATTCTGAAATGCCTCATAATTTCTCATTTAAAATAAATTATCACCCTTGAGTAAAAATTCACTGCCTTATCAATTTTATGAACAAAGTATAGTTTCAATTAACAAAATTCATTATATGTAATAAACATGAAATTTTTAAGAAAACAGAGGAAATGTAATTTGACAAAAAGGTATTGAATACTTTTGATATACTTATTTTTGCTAGAGATTAAACTGTTCATACAGAAAAATTTAAATGAGTCAATTTCAGTACACCAAATTTTTCAACCTTAAGGAAACAAAACTAAAATATTTAAAATCCAAGAGTAGACTCAAAACATCAACAGGGTTTTTTTTTTTTTTTTTCCAGGCTTCTTGGTCTCTGAAGTTTTCATGTTCTTGTTTTTCAGAGACTATGTTTAGTGTTTTTGGTTAATTCTTTCAAACTTCAACTATTCTCTAAAACAAAAGCAAAAAAAAAAAAAAACAGCTTTGCTGGACTGAAACTGACTATACTCAATTCTCCTTTCCTTCATCTCACACTCTTGCTTTTACCAAAGTTTATTTTCATAACTGCTTTCTTTGGCTCGTCCTTGAGAAATGGAACTGAAAAATTCAAAGGTGGTTCATTCTAAAAGATTTAACTTTTGTGGCTTTTCTTAAACAAGTTTCGTCTTCTGTTATTCTCTATGTTCTTATATTCTTTCCCAGAGGATAGTCGTAGGCTTTTTTGTGTATTCTTTCAATTACACTTTAATTTTTACACACACCAAAAAGCAAGTTTTGCTGAAACGACACTACTTTTATCTGATGACCTTATTTTTGCCTAAATCCATTAGAGTAACTGTTTCCTGTCATTCATTCTTTGAACTGAAAGTTCAAAATCCAAGAATTGATTCATCCCAAAGAATCTCTTCTTCTGTCCTTTCTTCAACAGGCTTCTTTCTCTCCTTCTTGTGCTTGCGTCCTTTCTCATCAGTTCCACCATGTCTTTTTCTCTTTTTCTGATGCTTAAGCTTTCCTGAACTGGCCCTGACTTTATATTCCTTTCTATCTCTGTGATGAATGCTCTTGTCTTTGTCTAAATCTGTATCCTCACAGCTCTTTCTCCTCTTATGCTTTGACTGTCCCTTTTCTGGCTTTTCTTTGTCTTCATCCAGATGTCGTCTCCTCTTCCCATGCCTCCGTTTATGATATCCTTTGTGCCCACTGCTGTATTTTGCTGATGAGAGGTGTTTATAAACTTCAGATTCTGCACTGTTTGAACCAGAGTTATTGTCTTGCTGATTGAGGCTCAAGAGCACTGGTTTTTCTGGAAAATAATCTCTAGGGTGCTGATAGCTCATCCAATCTAAGCCCTGTTTGTTGTCATCAACTGGTAAGCAACGAGGTAACTTGTTTTCCACTGCATGTGAAATATGGTATGGCCCTTGGTGGTTCTGGAAAATCTCAAACGGGAGTCTTTGCTCAAAATTTCCATGTCTAGGTTTGGTATCAATGATTTCTCTGTGCCTATGAGTTTCCACAGAGCAATCATCTGTCTCTCTGAAACACAATTTTGGCTCCAGTGCTCTTGATTTATGCTGCTGAGTATAGTCTAACTCATTTTGGAAAGACTCACATTTCCTCTCTGAATGAGCTGGGAACCAGGGAGATAATTGCCTTTTCATTGGTGAAATATTGTATGGATGTTGGTAAGTCTGGGAAGTCTCAAATGAAAATTCTTGCTCACATGTTCTATGTCTTGGTCCATAATCAACCATTTCTCTATACCCATGAGTCTCGGTAGAGCTCTCTCCCATTTTTCTAAAACAAGTATTTGGATCTAGTCCTCTGGACTTCTGAACTTTGATGTATTCTTCAAGTTCATCTTGGAAAGGATCATTTATCTTCTTTGAATGAGCTGTTAAAAAATCAGGTATCTGGTTTTCTACTCTTTGAGAAGTAGTATGTGGTTGTCTGTATGTCCAGAAAGTTTCAGATGGGAGTCTTTGGTCAAACGTTCTATGGCTAGGTCTGTAATCAGCTTCTCTGTACCTATGTGATTTTAATGAATCATCTTCCATAGTTCTAAAATAAGTCATGGGCTTTAGTTCTCTGGATTTCGGCATGTTGATGTAATCTGCATAGTTGTATTGGCAAGCGTTTTGTGTCTGTGTTGAATTCTTCACTAAATTGATAAAAAGAGATTCTCTGAAAAGAATACAACAAGAGTTAAGGTTATTGTATTATTTTATTCTGAAGATTTACTTTTCTCTGCAAAACATTATTAGGATAGGTGTTTGGAGCAGCACTTAAGACATAATTTGGGAAATATATATCCCATATCACTGCGTCTGGGTTCCCATTCCAGCTCCATTTCTGACTTTTGCTTCTTGCTAATGCACACTTTGGGATAGTTCAAGTGGTTGGGTCTCTGCCCATCATATGAGAGACAAGGGTTGAGTTCCAGACTCCTGACTTCATCCTGGTGTGATACTGGCTATTGCAGGCATCTGAGGAGTGAATCAGTGTATCAAAGATCTCTCTACTTTTCTGTCTCTATTTCTCTTTGTATGTCTGTCTGCCTTTCAATTAAAAAATGTTAAACCTGTCTAAATAAAAAAAAAAACAGCAAAAAAACCCCACAAATTTTAAAAGCTTATTGTACCATGAGCACTACAAGTAATACTTTGCTAAGAAAAAAAAAATAGCAGAGATAGTCAGATAACACTTGGAACTCTCACAATTTTCATGCAAAAGAAAAAAATTCTTAGGCCTGAGATGGAACCAAAGATGTGTATAAAGGAGCACACACATCTGATGCTGTTGTAATACTAAAGCTATTAAGACATGAACCCAAATCGATCATTTGATATGGATTTCATATAGTTTTAGGTTAATTAGTTCCTTGCATAGGTCTGTAGCTGAGACAGTTATTCATTCTGGAACCATGAACTTAAAATGTTTAAATATAAGTTTATTTGGTCAATCAGGCAATGTAGCTCCTAAGTATCTTAAGCAAATAATATATTCTGCTAGAATAACATTGATTTTAAAATCAATAAACCAATCATACAATAGTTAAATGTCCCTCTGTCCTGCAACCTGAATTGCCTATTGCCCAAATCTTCATTCAATCCTCATTTCCTTAAAACAACAAAACAAAATTGGGAAGACTTTTATTGAGCTTCTAAGTGCAAGGCCAAGGACCTTACACATCATACTTAATTTTAACAATCTTGTCTCAGAGCAATCCATAGTAACACACTTAATGGGAAGAAAAATCTAGTATTCTGATCCAGATCTGTGTAATAGAAAGATATCTATTTCCAAAAACTCTGTTCTGAACTAAATGCCTATAATTAAGCTAAGTTCTCAATTTTTAAAATTTTTCTTAATTTCCATAATTATATTAAAAATTATCCTTTATCGTCTCTCCAAAAAGGCCAGTGTGGTCTGATTAAGAAAGTTACCAGTCATCAAGTTCTGCCAGTATATTTTAATGATTACAAAACTTGGAGAATACAATGTTCAGTGTGTTACAAATATTGAATACCATGTAAATGTTCAAATCATGGGGAAATGACTGCCTAGTGTATTTGTAAAACACATAAAAGGGCACGAGATTAGAAGTCCTGGTCTTTGGTGTCCTGGGAATATTTGTTGGAAAACACTTACTTAGCTTGGTGTTCACTTCCTTGCATGTGAGACCGGAACATATCTAAAGATTTAAAGCTGATATCACAAATATGGCAAACATAGGCTTTCATACTAAATGCTGAAAAAAAATAGAGGATTCAGGTTAGGGTCAGCATGGATAATTTGAGCTGTCTCAAATTACATAATGTTAGAGCTGGACAAGAATTTATCAGAGATGATCTACTTGAGGTTGCTCAATAGAGTCCAGAGAGATAAAATTATTTTAGCCAATGTCATAAAGTCAGTTAGAAGTAGAGTTAGCCTTTCAGAGTCTTTGTCTCTTAATTTGGTGCTCAATATTCTTCACACTATGTCGTAAAGCTTTGCTAATCTTGATTTCTTCTGGAAAATCACCCATTTGTCTGCTTACTATTGCAAGTGCAACAGACATCTCAAATTTAATATGTCGAAACAATCTTTGATGCTTAGTCCTTTAGCATGCGCATATATATATGTCTGTATATAGACATATGTATATATAGACAAAGATAAGGAACAGAGATAAAGACAGAGAAAAAGATGTTTCATCTACTGGTTCACTCTCCAAATGGCAACAATGGCCAGAGCTTGGCAAGTCCAAAGTGGGGAGCTGCTTCCCGATCTTCCACATGAGGGCAGGGGCCCAAGGCCTTGGTCATCCTCCATGCTTTCCCATGCCATTAGCTGGGAGCTGGATTGGAAGTGGCACATCCGGGACATGAACTGACACCATACGAGATACCGATACCACTGGTGGAGGATTGGCTTGGTAAGCCACCGTGTCCATGGCCTCACAGCCACAATATTTTTGTCTGTGCTAATTCTTTTCCCACCTAACCAAGACATGAAATGTCCCAAAGGATTAAAAACAAAAACGAATTTTGCTCTCTTACCTGAGATCACTATAGTGCATTAGGTATCAAAAGCAATTTCTCCAGTTTTTAAAAAGGAGAGAGGTTCAGTGAGCCCCACTCTCAAGATAAAAGCTGAAACCAAAGTTCTGAAACAACACTGCTGGTTACTACTATACAGAACCATGAGACTGGAACTGCGTAACAGCTACTTTACTGCTCTGTTCCTCAGGTAGAATTAGAAGCAGAAGGTTATTTTTTATTCATTTGTTTTATCTCATGAAACTTCAACATTCTGTTTAGTCAGAAGAAGCAAATTAGTGAACTCCATGAGCCAAACATAAACTCAAAACCACTGTAGGGGAGAAGGCAGTAAATTGGTGGCTGTAAAGATTTTAGGTACAAATAAGGTCATCTTCTAAATCAGAAAGTCATTCTAATTACTTAAAGAAAATTTAATTATTATCATGTAATGATATCATTTACAAAGTTGAGAAAAAATTCTAAAATTTGTAAGCAATTACAATAGACCCAGAATAACCAAAATGATCCTGAGCAAACAAATAGATAAATAAATCAGGCTAGAGGCACCATAATATCTTATGAGTTGTAATCATGGTACTCCCATAAAATCTAACACATGGATCAGCAAAAAGGAGAGAGGCCAGAAATTAATGCATGTACATACAGGAGCCAACTGATCTTTGACAAAAGTACTGACCATACATTGGAGTACAGATTATATTTTCCATAAATGGTGCTGACCAAACTGGATGCATATATGTAGAAAAATTAAATTAAATCCATTCTTCTCAACATATACAAAATCATCTCGATATGGATCAAAGACCTAAAGTTATGTCTTTAGACTATGAAGTTGTTAGAAGAAATTGTAGGAAAAACACCCCAAGACACTGGTGTCAGGAATGAGTTGTTGGAGAAGGTCAGTATACATGACAAAAGCAACACTAAGCAAATGAATCTATATCAAACTTAGAAGTTTCTGCACAACAAAGCAAACTATAAATAGACTGAACAGACATCAAATTGAATGGGAAAACAGTATTTGTGAGCTATCCATCCAACAGAGGATTAATAGCCAGAATATATCAGCAATCTAAAAACCTCAACAACAAAACAATCCAGCCAGTAAGAAATGGACAAAGACAGTTCTCAAAAGGAGAAATACAAAAAGCCAATAAATATGTGAAAACTGCTCAACATCACTAAAAATTAGGGAAATGCAAATCAAAACAATGTTGAGGTATCATCTCACCACTGTCAGAATGGCTAAAATCTAAAAGAAAATGCTGGGAAGGATGTAAAGAAATGAGAACATTTACACACTATTGGTGGGATTATGAATTAGTGCAGCCACCATAGAAAACAACATGGAGATTTCTTAGAAAACTAGAAATAGACTTGCCATATAATCTAGTGGTTCCACTTCTGGGACCAAAAAACAAGAGCATATTCTATCAAGCAGATATCCATGCCACCACATTTATAACAATGATGTTCACAACACCCAAAACATGCATTCAACCAAGGTGTCCATCATCATATTCCTGAATACAGGAAATGGCATATATATATATATATATATATATATGGGATACTAATCCAGTGTAAAACAGAAAGACGTTCTATCATTTGCAACATGGATGCAGATCAAAGACATTATCTTAAACAAGCTGTATGCAGAAAGACAAATACTGCATGTTCTCTTTTATATGTGGAAGGTAAAATTAAAAAAAAAAAAAGAAAGAAAAAAGTCAAAAGAAATAATTGTCTGTGTGCTCACAACTACTCCAAATCTAGTTTTATCGATCTTGGTACTATAACTTTATCAAATCACTGGTTAAGTAAAGTATGCTACTGGACCAGGCACGACCGCTCAGTGGCTAAAATCTTCGCCAGGAAAGCATCAGGATCCCATATGGACACTGATTCATGTCCCAGCTGCTGTACTTCTCTTCCAGCTCCCTGTTTATGGCCTGGGAAAGTAGTAGAGGATAGTCCAAATACTTGGAACCCTGCACTCATGTAAGAGACCCAGAAGAAGTTTCTGTCTTCAGATTGGCTCAGCTTCCGCCTGTTGCAGCCACTTGGGGAGGGAACCAATGGATGGAAGATCTTCCTCTCTGTCTCTCCTTCTCTATGTAAATCTGACTCTCCAATAAAAAATAAACAAATATTAAAAAAGAGAAAATCGGGCCCGGCAGCATAGCCTAGCAGCTAAAGTCCTCGCCTTGAACGTGCCGGGATCCCACATGGGCACTGGTTCTAATCCCGGCAGCTCCACTTCCCATCCAGCTCCTTGCTTGTGGCCTGGGAAAGCAGTCAAGGACAGCCCAAAGCTTTGGGACCTTGCACCCACGTGGGAGACCCAGAAGAGGTTCCTGGTTCCTGGCTTCGGATAGGCATAGCATCGGCCGTTGCACTCACTTGGGGAGTGAATCATTGGACGGAAGATCTTCCTCTCTGTCTACCCTCCTCTCTGTATATCTGACTTTGTAATAAAAATAAAAATAAATCTTAAGAAAAGAGAAAATTACATTACTGTAGTTTAGTGATATGTGATTACTTTAAAATTAGTTGTATATGAACGAAATATCTTTCAATTGTACAACCATTGCTAAACTAGACTCCTTTTGCCTTTACTTGTTAAATCTATTTGGTGTCACATTAAACTCTTGATTATGATGTAAACTTAAAATTATGGAATAGAGGTGCCAGCATGGTGGTATAGCAAGCTAATCTCCACTGGCAGCACTTGCATCCCATATGAGTATTGGTTCAAGCTCTAACGGCTCCACTTCCAATCCAGCTCCCTGTTAATGTGCTTGGCAAAGAAGCAAGGATCAGTCAAGCCCTTAGGTGCCTGTATCAATGTGAGAGCCTGGGAAAAAACTCCTGGATCCTGGCTCTAATCAGCTCAGCTCCAAACATTGTGGGTACTTGGGGAGTGAACCAGCAAATGAAAAATCTTTCTTTGTGTCTCCTCTTCTCTCTGCAGCTCTGATTTTGAAACAATAATAAATGTTTTAGATAAGTTTTGGCTTTAGTAACACCATATGTATGTTGGTTCCTGGTCCAGAAGTTCCACTTGTGATCTAATTCTAGGGGTCCTGGACAATCAGTAAAGAATGGTCAAAATATTTGAACCTCTTCTACCCATGTTGGAAGACACATTTGAAGCTCCTGGCTCCTGGCTTCGGCCTGGCTCAGCCTAGTCCCAGCCCTGCCTTTGCAGCTACCTGGGCAGCAAATTAGCAACTGGAAAATCTTTTTCTCCCTCCTGTCTTTGAGATAAATGCACAAATTTTTAAGAAAATTTTTGCCTCAAAAACTAAAAAGAAAGAAAGAAAGAAGAAGAATAGTAAAAAGGATGAGAAGGTGGAAGGGTGAAAGAAAGAAAGGGAAGAAGAAAGAAAGTGAGATGGGGAATACCATTATACTTTTATATTACTATCTATGGATTGTGTTGAATCTGCTAAAAGCTAAAAGTAAAAGTATGACTTGTAAAACTATTGAAAAAGGCACTCTGAGCCTGGCATGACAGCCTAGGGCCTAAATCCTCTCCTTGTACGCACCAGGATCCCATATGGGTGCCAGTTCCTGTCCCAGCTGCTCCACTTCCCTTCCAGCTCCCTGCTAGTGGCATGGGACGACAGTAGAAGATGGCCCAAATTTTTGGGTCTTTCCACCCATGTGGGAGACCCAGGGGAGGCTCCTGGCTCCTGGCTTCAGATGGACTCAGCTCTGGCTATTATGGCTACTTGGGGAATGAACCAGCAGATGAAAGACCTTTCTCTCTGTCTCTCTTTCTTGTGCAAATCTGATTTTCCAAACAGAAATAAATAAGTAAATGTTTTTAAAAAGTGGTGCCAAGCGCCTGTAGTCTCAGCTACTCAGGAGGCTGAGGCAGGAGGATCGCCTGAGTCCTGGAGTTCTGATTTGTAGCGCGCTATGCCGATCGGTTGTCCGCACTACGTTCGGCATCAATATGGTGATCTCCCGGGAGCGGGGGGCCACCAGGTTGCCTAAGGAGGGGTGAAGAGGCCCATGTTGGAAACGGAGCAGGTCAAAACTCCCATGCTGATCACTTTATAATTTGAATTTCCATATTCTTTGATATCAAGAAAATGATTCTTTGGATGACAGACATCCCTGCCCCCCCCCCCAAAAAAAGCAAGCAGAACTGAACTGAAACTATTTAACTAGTACTACAACAATCTATCACAAA